TCTGATTACATGGAGATGGCTCAAGTTACCCATGAAATACCATGAATTTTGGTGAGATCAAGATCCCTAAAGCCCAGCCATATCATATACCCTCCAGTAAACTAACATAGCAATGGAAAGATCCACCATGCTATTAATGGGAAAACTCACTATTTCGACTGGGCCATTTTCAATAGCCATGTTAGTTTACCAGAGGGTAGTATAATATAATATGCATGAAAAATTCAAGTTATCATACATATTGGTTGTATCTTTTGGCATACCACCGTTCTGCAACAACAACCATCCGCCTAAAATGGTTTGTTAAGGTATGTATCTAAACTAATTATATTTTCCAAACACATCCAAACACCATTGTTTGATCTGTTGTTGCTGGAATTGCCTTCCTGTTTTCCAGCGGGACAATTAACCCACCGACTTTTTTGGTCACCACTTTTGTTGGTGGTCCTGGTAGGTCACGTCGCGACTGTCGCGGCGCCACGTAACTATCCCGCAAGTTAGGTAAGTCAATTATTGTAATTCATCCCCATATATATGTATATATATATATATATATCTGGTTGGTGGTTTGGAACATGTTTATTTTCCATAATATATGGGTTGTCATCCTTCCCATTGACGAACTCCATCATTTTTCAAGATGGTTATTGCACCACCAACCAGATATATAATTCATTAGATCAGGTATTAATCACTAATAACCACTATAAACCACTATTAATCACTATAAAAACCATGGATACCCTCTGGTAAACATACAAAAACATGGTCGGGGTAATATTCACTACTTCTGACCGGCTTTGAACAGCAAGATATTGGATGCACTGTAGGAAGGATCCGATTTTTCGGCCGTGGCCCCGACGATTTTCCTGGGGCTGGTTGCCCGAACAAAAAATAGGACATAGACCTTAGACCTTCATGTTTGTGGAATGTACTGTATATAGAAATAGCTAGATATAGCTAGTTTTAGTGGCCTTGGTTGCCTGCAAAGCCAACAAGAGACCCTGGGTCTCTTCCTGGAAATGGATCTGGCATCCGCAAGTTCTAATGGGAGTCAACCATTGCGGAATTTTGGGGTTCAACCATTGCGGCAATGAAATGGGAGTCGTTCTAAAACCATTTTAGAAACTTTTCGTATGCGACTGACATCTGCAGATATGGACGTGTGTTTTTGGGGAACCATAATTTTGAACAACCCCCAAATATGTGTCCAGGTCAGTTCCTCGTGATGCCGCTGTGACCGTGAAACCTCAGAGGCGGAGGGCCCGGAGGGGTGGCGAAGCTTAGTTCAACAGAGGGAAGGACCTCCACAAAGGATGGGCAAGGTTGGTTTTTATGACTAGGGTCACTGTGGTTTGTAGATGTTTAGTTTAAACATTTTAAACTCATGTTAATCATCTATAAACAACAGCCACGCTAGTCATAAACTGTAATAGATCACTCATCGTTGTAAGGTTATAAACCAAGCAAGTCAAAGATGGGTCAAAGTCTCCGTTAGTTTATGTTGGTTTCAGGTACAGGACTGGTTGTTGAAAGTTCACTATCAAAGTCTAACAACAACAGACATAGTCATCAAATCATCTGAAGAATTGTCTATGTGGTGGACTAGCAAAGATTATCATGGGAAGCAGTGGCAAACATTAGGACATGTTTGGAACACGCATCCACATGGGACTGTCTAAATGTTGAATTATGGGGTCAAGATTCTCATAGCTTAACGAATCAGACAACATGGGTATGGATGAGTATGATAGCTTATGTCGTTATTCATGTTTGATAAAGCCTGGGCTCCAACATGGAACAGCTAATGACTTGACTCATACTCAGATGTATGTATGTATATATATATATATATATTTATATGTGTAGAGTGTATATATATATATATGCATAATATATACGTGTATATATATACATGTGTGTGAAAATGTATATATAAAGATATACATATATTTATATACATATCATATGTATATACACATATAATTATATATATATAATAACTTAGTAGACAACATGGGTTATATTACATTTTGTTTTTTTTCCAGAGTATTCTATGGAAGCTATGGATGAAAAAGGCCCAGCTCGATGATTTTTCCCCTGGTTTCTGGTTATTGGGTCCTGGTCTCCCGGGAATATCCCGAAATCATCCAGTCGTCATGAACGACCATTTAAGTATTAAAAACGATGGTGACTTGGGGATCCCCCTAGGAACAAAACCATGTTTTACCCCCTGGTAAACATTTTCATAACTATGGAAAGTCAGCATTTTCAATGGCCATGTTCAATAGCTTTTTAAGTATGTTTACCAGAGGGTAAATCATGGTTTCAATATTAAAAACCATAGTTTTGATGGGGATCCCCCTAGGAACAAAACCATTTTTAAATGAAAACCATCCAGCCATTGGTAGCTCCATGGTCACAGCGTCCCCAGCGGATTCCGGTTGAGGCGCAGCGGTCGTGGAGGCGCCCGTTTTCGGGCCACGGGGCCAGGGCGTCTTTGTTGAGGATCATGACAGTTTCATGGGTACTTAAGATGGGTACTTAGAGAGATGTCAGGGAAATTGGGAGATCTGTATCTACTAGGTCAATCTTGGATGGGTAGAAACTAATCCTTTAGTCTTTTGGTATCAATGGGATTATCTACGTTCACCAGCTAAGAATTTATTTTTGTTGCAGGGTATCTAAGATTGGCACTGTCTATATGATTAATTATAAGTATATAATAGATCAGAATCATGTGTTTTAAGCAACATCGAAACTTTCGTATTTAACCATCAAAACACGGATTTCTACCAATGAATCGACCAAGTTGGTGTTCGAGTTTGGAATCGCTAAGTTGGTGCGTTTATAAACTGTTGACAACTCCAATTTCACGTTTGGGTTTATGATACATGTATCTTTATTATTCTATAGTTATAGAATGGGGGTTATAAGTTATACACCAACTTACAACTTTTTTTGATCGCCACCTTGATAAGATCCTTGGACCCTTCAGGGCCCGAGAGAGATCTTCGTAGCATCGGTGATTTTGGAGCCATTTCTGTCAGCTAAGCGTCGCGCGTCACAAGGACACAGCAGCCTAAAACCCATAGGATCCATGGTGCTGCTATATATGGTAACATGTACCATCAATATACTCCAAATGTTAGCATATATACCATACATGGAGCATATGGGAAATGATGATTGAGGGAAAATGTTTTTTTTTTGTTTTGACAAATTACATTTCAGCTTGTGTTTCATCAAACATGTCCTCGTTTTTGCTGTACATTCGGATCTCTTCAGTCACTTGTTTATACAGTACGCCATGTTCGTCCAAGGATTTGTGGTTCAGTTAGCTGTGGTGAAGGGGTGCCCAAATTTATAGGCTTCCCCAACAGAAATTGCTGGTGAAAAGAGACAACATAGAAACAGATTAAATATACAATATTATACTGTATATATATATATATTTATACATATTCCATATTCCAATATGTATATATAAAACATTACAACACATGAAAGGCTATTAATTTATATACCAGTATATATATATACACATGATATATATATATATATGATATATATATATATATGATATATGATATATATATATATATGTATATATATGATATATTATATATATAAAAGCCCAAGAGAAAAGAGGAAAATGATCTGGGCCAGGTCGGGGGCGTGGCTCACGGCATTCTGGAGGCCTCTTCAGAGTCGGGGCGGTGCTCGGTGCATGATGGCGAAAGTTGCCATCCACCAATAGTTTTTTTGATGGAAAATCTTACACCAACTCTGAGGGTTGTTGAATATTAATTATAAGTTGATATATATATATACATACATATATATATATATATATGATTTAGTGATTTATATGTGGTCCATTTAGTGGTTTTTTAGGGCTATGGATTCAATAATGGTTGCAGGTGTAAACGTAGATATGTTAGATTGTCCTAAAGTTACCTATATATAGTTACCAGCTGCAGCAGGATGTCGCAACCATCATATCATATATTGGGATAATGGCGATTTTTTCTGGTTTACATATAACTAACCAAAAGCAAATCCAAAATGTATTGGATATGAGAAATTGGAGGTTTAACCAACAATTGGGATTTAATGTCAACCCTGGATTAATAAACCCCGAACGGCTGTTTAATTGGGAGGATACCATTTAAATATCAAATCATGACTATTGGGGGAATACCCCCTAAATAATAAACCATGGTTTATTAATCCGGGGTTGACATTACTCAATTTGTCCCATCATATTTTTTTGGATTTAGTGGGATTTAAAGAGATCTGATGGATTTGCTGACGATTTGGCGTATTTCCCAAATGGGAAATCCATTACTTGGGGGCTCAATGAAGGATCTTTTTTTGGGTGGTTTACCCCTAGAAAAAAAAAACATGGTTGACCATTATAGCCATCATGTGGTTGGGAAAGTAGATAGAAATAGCTCCGAATCGCTCCCTGCCAACCACTGGATACTCAAATCCACAAGTATAGTTGGTTATCATTATCTGGTTGGTGGTTTCAAACATATGTTTTTTTCCATAATATGTGGGATAATCCTTCCCATTGACGAACTCATATTTTTCAAGATGGTTATTGCACCACCAACCAGGTAGGTTATCATGATATTTCATGTACCCTCTGGTAAACTAACGAAGTCAGTTGGGAAGTTGGAATCTTCCCATTTCTGAACCGACCAGATATAGCTGGCGGCAGGCTGAAACGACCAATCCTCCGGATCCTCAGGATCCCGGACAACATAACTATGGAAAATCACCATTTTTAATGGGAAAACTCACTATAAATGGTCATTTTCAATAGCTATGTTAGTTTACCAAAGGGTATGTGGTTACATCGCTGTGATGATTCCATCCAGGACTTCTGGAAGGAGCAACTTCTGTGAAGGCGTAACGGTTTTTGTCGATCCCCACGTGGGATCGCCGCCAGCGATGAACCCAGGGAAGAGGGGACAGCTTTCAGTTCGGCGATGGGGATGGCTGAAGGAGGTGCGGGACAGTTGGCGCTTTGCGTTCCACATGATAGCACTGGGCTGGTGTGACAAATTGGGACAAGTGACACACATCGTCCGCTCTGACGATTTGTGATGCCCTACTCTGCCCCTACTCTATCCCTACGCTACCTCTACCCTACCTCACTCCACTTTATCCTTCATCGGCGTATGACGAAATACAGAGCGAGCCGCATCTTGCGGCGCAAAGGCAGGCCTCACCACCAGCAGGCCACGGTCCACAAGAACCTGATTTAGCACCAGGCCCATCCTCGAGCGACCCGCTGAGAGGGATGGAGGCAAACTTGGATGATCTCGATGTGGTGGTGTCACTGGCTGGTGGAATCTTGGTATGGCAAGTGATGAAGAAAAATGACATGATGAATATAACACAGGCCAATGGTGATTTTTGGCTATCTAAGATTAGCGCATGGAGGTGAAAGTGGCTGTGGCTCTGAAAGGTTGCGGTACCAGTTTCTCGCCTGTGGCAACAAGTGGCAATCTGAAACCGTCCAAGTTGGGGAATTTTAGCCATGGCCAAATGCAGAGCTGGGTTGGGTGGTTTCCATCGCTACTTGGGATGTTTTTTTTTCACCACAAGCAGAGATTATAGTATTTTTCTTGATGCTGATCCAGTTCATGTGGCAGTTACTAGGTCAATCTTACATGGGTACTTTAAATCCTAACTAGTCTTTTGGTATCAATGGGAATATCTACGTTCACCAGCAAAGAATTGGTCATTTTTTGCAGGGTATCTGGCTGATTGGCAATGGTTGCATGTGTTACCCTCTGGTAAACTAACATAACTGTGGAAAGATCCACCATTTTTAATTGGTAAATCCACTATTTCTATGGCCATGTTCAATAGCTATGTTAGTTTACCAGAGGGTACATGTGTTGCTTCGGATCATGGATGTCTTTGACTGGTCGATTATCCCAGCTGGGGGATGGGGTTCTGGATTTGCACAGGCCTTTCAAAACTGTGAACAGTGGTTGGTGGTTTGGAACCATGGAATTTTATGACTTTCCATATATATATATATATTATATAGGGAATGTCATCATCCCAACTGATTATCATATTTTTCAGAGGGGTGGCTCAACCACCAACCAGTCCATTTTGTCCAGAATGACATTGGTATACTGATAGGATCTCCGACTGGCTGCACAAGTTTTGACCCGAAAAGCCAGCATTCAGTTGAGGGACCCAGGGACCCAGAAATGTGGCTTTGACCCCCAATTCATGGTTAGATGTATGATTTCTCATAGATTAACCATAGATTAACCATAGAGTAACTATAGATTAACCATAGATTAACCATAGATTAACCATAGATTAACCATAGATTAACCATAGATTAACCATAGATTAACCAGTATAGTGAAAAGTCTGAAACGTTATATGTTATTTTTGTTGGTGGTCTCCTACTCTGATAGAACCATTGGATTTAGGTATTCTCATGGCTATTGCGCTTGGCTCAAGTCATTGCATACACAAGAAGAGCAGTACTTGAAGACAATATATTAAACATTTCACGGCATTTCTACACCACTACTTCTGTTGTTTGAGGTCGGGCCAAATCGAGCCTTACTTGTAATCCAATATATTTCCCAGATGTTTACACCTTTTAACCGGCCAGTTTCATGTTGGACCCTTTTTTCATTACCTCCTCAACTTGGCGGTCGTCAACGGTGATTCCGCAGGCAACGGCTACAACGGCTACGGCACCTACCGCGGCTACAACCAAGGCGGCCATGGCGGCTATGGCGGCTATGGTGGCTACGGGTACGGTGGCTACAGTGGCTACAGCACCTATGGCTATGGCTACCAGCAAGGCGGCTACAGCTATGGTGGCAGCCGGCGTGTTGGTGGGCCCCCTGCCAACTACAGGAGAGGGTTGGGGGTTGAGCAAGTTGAACAGCTGGTCGCTGTGTCGGCGAGGAAACCTACACACTGATAATGATACACTGCTTGGCGGTTTGGAACATTTTTTTTCGTTCAGTTGAGAATAATAATCCCAACTGACTTTCATATTTTTCAGAGGGGTTGAAACCACCAACCAGTACAGGTTAATGATGTGGATTTATTTTTACGACTTTGAACCGAAGATGTTTGAAGAATCAGAATTGGGGGTATCCAGCAATTCAGTCAAACATTGCTATTGCAAAACCAAACATGAACCACCGCGCCTAGATATTCGAATTTTCGGGCTCCAAAGCCATGTTAGCCTGCCATGTTAGGTAAACAGATGCGTCATGTTTGGAGCGTTGATAGATGCAAGAGACCCTTGTTGAGCCTCACTGAAACATGTCGGGTCTTGTTATTTGGCTACTGTACTCGGTGCCACATCCGTGGGCTCATCAGTGGGCTCTCAAACTGCAAACTGAGACCGGTGCTTTGGTTCACATGGCTTTTATTTTCCGTTTCATACATGGGTTGTCATCTGGAACCCATGGGTTGTCATCTGGAACCCATTGACGAAGTCATATTTTTCAGAGGGGTAGGTTGAAACCACCAACCAGTCATCCTCTGGTAAATTAACATAATTATGGAACTTCACAATTTTTAATGGGAAAATCCACTATAAATGGGTTGACTGCTTGGGTTTTTTTAACATCTTGGCTCATTGGATTGATTCTATCATAGGGAACATCGCTTCACCGAAAAAAAGCAAAACAATGATTTGGCTGGCCATTTTGAAAAGATGAGGTGAAAATCGGTGAAAATATGTGCCTTAAACCAATCCTTTACAAGCCAGGCGCCTGTCGCTTCAGGGCGCTTTGGAGAAAGGTTTCTTAGTCCAAGTTTGCCGTTTGTTGGCCATGCACTAAGCAATACTAAGCAGATAGCAACTTGGTATGCACACCCCTTTGTGTGGCCGTAGTATTCTTTGTTTTACATCTAGTTACTAGTTGTTTTAATCATAGTGTTCATCAGATGAACTCGGAAGATATCAACATATCCCATAGGATCCATGTACCATCAATATACCCCAAATGTTAGCATATATACCATACATGGAGCATATGGGTATGTCTGTCAGACCTCCACATCATGTCGGAAATCCAATAGTATAATAGTATACCCTTCCATGTGGGGATGGTATTGATCAATCTGATCCCACCCATAAAAATGGTGACTGGGGGATGGGTTATGAAATTGTTTATCCCACTAATTCGCATGGTGAATTGATGGTTAGGAGATGTTGAACCACCGAATCTATTGGAGATGTTGAAACCCTGGCAGTCATCGAGTCATCGGGGTTGGAAGATAAGTTTGTTCGTTTTGGTTGACCAAAACATTGCTATTTCGAACCGTTAGTTTACCAGAAGTCAACCGCAAATCAACATTAACTAGTTGGTGGTTTGGACCATGTTTTATGACTTTCCATTCAGTTGGGAATGGAATGTCATCATCCCAACTGGTCCTTTCACTCCATCATTTTTCAGAGGGGTAGGTATACCTCAACCACCAACCAGTCATCCTCTGGTAAATTAACATAATTATGGAACATCACAATTTTTAATGGGAAAATCCACTATAAATGGGTTGACTGTTTGGGTTTTTAACATCTTGGCTCATTGGATTGATTCTATCACCAGATTATTATTAACCATCAGTATATAACCATATAATAACCATTAATATATATTAACCATTATTAACAGTATATTAATAACCACCAAGTGAATCAACGGGTTTCCTATGAAGCACCCAGTTTTTTCTCAACGGTGGCTGAAGAATCCCTCTGGCTCCAGTGCTCCAGGAGGCGACCAACGTCCGAGGCGGGCATTCATTGGATGATGGGTTTAAGGTTTGTGAAGTGTCAGGTTGGTATGTTTATGTAGGTTTCAGTAGGTCAAGTGGGCTTGATGTGTTTTTTTTTGTTTAATGTGTTTTTTCTGTAGGTTCGGTATTTGTTTAAAGTGTTTCTTTGGTTTGTCTTGCTTTTAGTGAGATATAGTAACCCCCTCACGAACACTTTGACCCCCGAGATGCCATGTTGACCAAAGGATTGTTTTCCAACCCCCAGTCATGGCAGGGTCTAATACTTTAATACTCGTTCAGGGGATTGTACCATGTGAGGGCCCCCAACGATAGCTGAATTGACATAACTTGGTTAACTAGGGTTGATTAGGGGGGTAGAACTATAGTTTAATGATGTTTAATTTTGATGTATTTATAAACATACGTTTTAATATCTACAGTATATACACACATGATACAAATATGTACAAGTTATACACATCCTATCTTGCTTGGCAGGATGTCCTGCCGGGGTATTTGTAGTTGATATCTCCGCCGCCGCATCTCGCCGTCTTAGGCGGGGTATCAGGCGAGCCCTTGGGGTGCCTTGGTCATGGCTCGGCCCAGCGATGGTGCTGGGAGATGGGGATGCTTCGAAACCCACCATGACTGACTGGGGGTATGGCTTCAGTATGCTACCCATAAGGATATTGATGTTGATTAGCAGTTGGTTTATCACTCCAACATACTCTAACGATCTAGTTGTTTTATCACTATGAGGCCAACAATCCACTCGTTTTTTCCTAGCTACTTGGACCAGCTCAGCGATGTGACTCACTGGGGTAGTACCTTGTAGATCATTGAGTTTGTTACCCTCCGGTGCCATCAAACATGGCTTGCTGGAAAATCCACCAGCAAAAGTTCGATGATTTTCCAAACTCCATGGCCCTTGACAATTGTATAGGAGTAGCAAGATGGGGGGCAAAAATCACGCAATGGGGGGTGCTTGGACATTTTTAACATAGGGGTATTATAGAGTGGAACTATGAACTGGTATGGGTTGAAAACTGTATGCCCCCCAAGAATGGATTGTGAAGTATTCAAATGACACATATGTGGAGAATGGGACCCCATTCTTGAGCCATGGCTGTTCGCGTTGAATGGTTTGATCCAGCAGCAAAACGTGTACTGTACCAACAAATGATGGTGCGTAAGGGTAGCTTCCACAACGTGAGCCAGTATGTATGTATGTGTATATATATATGTCCCTACTATGTACATAAATCAGTTCAGTTTTTGAGTTTATTCGCATAATTTTTCCAGCCAACCAGTCAGCTAGTCTCTACTTAGATGCCAGAATAGTTCTGGCAACTGCCAAGGTTGGCCGGGTAGGTCATAAATTTTCGGGATGATTCAGCGCCGACAATAACAATGACCCGCAAAAACCGTGTTTGTATCATTCTGTATCCCAATCATGACAATCCATCTGTTTGTTGTCAATGTATTTTTGTATCATTTCGTATATGTGTATCAATCTGTATCCATTTTATATAATGAAAATCCGTTCTAAATTCATGTTTTGTTTGTCATATATTGTAGCCTTGTGAATGACTGCTTCTGGCCATCTATATCTGATCAAATCAAATCACCATGTTTGATAGTTAGCCGTGTTGTTTGAGGAATTGTTTGTTGGAATCCATCCCTTTTAACTCAATGTTCTTGAAAGATGTCAAAATCCAACTCTTGATGAAATTCCACTTGTTCTTGGTTGGATTCCTATTTCTGATCTTGAAAGTCCAATTTCTAAATGTTGGAAATCGAATTTATGATGTTAAACAGTAAACAATCCAAGCGCTTATGTCAAAAATCTAATGTTGGATCTCTTAAATTTCCATGAAATTCCATGAATGTTCCAAGATGTTCTGGTAAAACTCCGCGTCTTCGCTCTCCTTAAGGAACCGCATCGCGTGGCGGCTACTCGGGATACTCGGGTACCTCGAACGAGTGGCTGTCGGACTACGAGGAACGCCCGGGGAGACTTGGAGGTGCCATGAGGTTAGCTACTACCCTCTGGTAAACGTTTACGTAACTATGGAAAATCACCATTTTTAATGGGGAAACTCACTATAAATCACCATTTTCAATAGCTTTTTGTATGTTTACCAGAGGGTAATGGAAAACTCACCATTTTCAATATGGGAAAATATTGGAAAACCACCATGCTATGGGAAAACTCACTATAAATATCTATTTCTATGACCATTTTCAATAGCAAACTGTTGACATAAGCAGGCCGGGTAGTACGTCAAGAAAATGGCAGTAATCTGAGTCATCCCATCCCACTTTCTGATTATTGAACACCCCCAGAAACAGCCCAGAAACCCATGGTGTTTATATTAAGTGATTTCCACGAATGGTTGGGACCATAGTTCTTGGGGCTGTTCCACTAATGAACGGGGGATGGGAGTAATTTTTTTGGAAACCCAATGCAATGAATAATATTGAAAATAATTGAATATTTGGTGAATACTGGTGAAACTGAATCTGACTCAATCTTGATTAATATTGTGGGAACCCTGGCTGCCATCAACCACCATTTGGAGATGGCTGGAATCCCACCCAGATGGGAATGACTTGGGAAATGACCATATGAATCCCCGATGGTAAAGGAATTCAATGTAATTCATCACTATTCCATACTATTCTACCAAAATGTCACTGTTCTATCTTTTTGAGGTTTGCTATATATTTTTTGGGGATTCATGTGAGTGTGAAAATCAATGATAGGGTTCTTTGTACGGAAACTGCAGAGAATCCCTTGGAGTTAGGGCTTGTCACTGGCCACCCAGGTACGGCAAGTGACGATAACCAACAATATCTGGTTGGTGGTTTGGAACATGTTATATTTTCCATAATATATGGGATAGTCCTTCCCATTGACTAATATTTTTCAAGATGGTTATTGCACCACCAACCAGTTATAGTTGACCAATTTATCTACTATATCTACCCTATGGATCCCTTTGGTGTCATCAAACGTGGCTGGAAAATCCTCCCACATCTCGTCTATGCAGGTTTTTGTTAGGGACAATCATGAAACTACAGATGTTCAAGTGCCACGTTTTTTCAAAACCGGGTGGGTTGTTCACCATTTGTTGGTCAAGCATAGCAGCCAGTACCTTTGTGATGCCCCCTAGGAATCTAGTGAATCAAGTTGGTTTTAAGATTTTAGAATCCAATTTAATCATAGAAATCACATTTAACATTAATTTAACCATAGAAGATCCACTATGCATCCACTATGAATCCCTGACCACCTAGTGACATAGCCCTTACTGAAACAGCCGCCAGAATTCACCACCTGGCAGTGGCGCTCCGGTGCGCAACTCAGCGTGGCTGCGCGGGCTGCGGGAACCGATCCTGGTATCGGCTGATAGGAGATTCGATGGTAGGTTGGTGGTTTGGAACATGGCTTTTATTTTTCCATATGTATAAATATATATATATATATAATATAACTATAATTCATGGTGGTTATAAACCAACTTAGCTATATTATGGAACATAAAAAATGTTTGAAACCACCAACCAGCTATTATATATATGGATGTGGGTCAAAACCCTGTACCCCTGTAGTTCACCCCAAGTCATAGCTGGGATTTATGGATGTGAATAACCCACTAAAAATGGTATTAATAGGTATTGATCCATACCCATATATATATATATATATATATTGGGAATAATCATCCCAACTGACTTTCATATTTTTCAGAGGGGTTGAAACCACCAATGAGTCAAGTTCTGAGGATATGGGGGGTTCCACAAATGGGGGTACCCCAAGCTCGCTGGATGGTTTTTGTGAGGGAAAATCCATCTATAAATGGATGTAACAGTTTCCATCTCAGATGATCTAGGACAAAGAATTATGTATACATCATACATATATTATAGGATATATGAAAAACAATGATAGGATACATTTGTCACCGATATTCAACTTCTGTTTATATAATATATATATATATATGAGGAATGTTGATCAAGACATATGTTTGGATATCAGAACCGTGATCAAGCAGTCCATGAACTGGGAGGAAGGGATGAATGCCCAAATGAACTCAGCTATACGTTGATTTGACTTACAGGGTATAGGATGGGGCCCCCAAGATAGCGTTCAGTTGCCTTAAGTGGCTGAATTCTATGGTTTATGGTAGATATAAGTTAATGAGGGTCATAATGGTTTATACCAACTTATAACTGGGGGGGGCCTATCCTGTACCAGAGTGTTTATTCAACGGCGATGTACCTTTGAATTTGTTTTTTGGAAGTTCCTCATGTTTTGCTTAAACAGATCCTAGATATCCTAGTAAGTCTTCAATAAGAGTTGTTCTTGTCTTAAACACCAACCAATCCAACAGACACTGTTCCAGATAATGCCCCCCCAAAAAAAAAAATGTATTCCCACTAATGTGGTAAATCCGATAATAAACCTTTCAATTTTGAGAGGGTTTATATTTACATATTTCTAGCGAATTTGACGATGGTGTACTACTGGGTTTACGACATTACAATAATCCAGCAAATCTTCCAATGATATATTTGGGGACTTGGGGATGTTTTAAGTCGATACGTTTGGCCGATCATCATCATAGGGTTATTTCCCAACCGTTAGTTAGTTTCCCATTTATCTTCCCACTTATATGGGTTTGTCTGAAAATACATTCCCCAAATTTTGATGGTGTATCATCATTTTCCCCACTTAGGTTGCCTTTTGAATGCATACCAAATTGTCAGACTCATCCATATACCCTTTGGTAAACTAACATAGCTATAGAAAAGGGCCCATTTATAGCTGACTTATCTATTAGAATCGTGATTTTCCATAGCTTGGTCAGTTTATATACCCGAGGTATTGTTTTCTTCACGGAACAGGATTCATAGCATAGTCATGGTAAGAAACCAATGATGAGGCGAACGGTTGCTTCTGGTTTTTCCACGTGCCGAACAAGGATATGTTTGGATATACCCTCTGGTAAACGTTCACAAACTGGAAAATCACATGTTTGAATGGGTAAACCAACTATTTCGACGGGGCCATTTTCAATAGCTATGTCAAATTACCAGAGGGTAAATCACCATCAAATACCATTTATAGATATTTATAGCAGTGGTAAATCCCATGAAACCACCATTTTTCCCAACAAATCACCATTTATAGTGGTTCAAAATCTATAAAACCACCATTTTTTGCGCGTTCCGTTTGTTCAGGCCCGGTCGCGGCCCAGCCCCAGACCTGCGCATGGAGACCTGAGGGCCATTGAACGTGGGGATTGACTCAGGATGAACCCAACCATAACAAGGGATTTCAATAGGGATTTGATGTGTTTTAAACTTCAACAAATGGGAATTGAGTAGGGATTTACAATGGGATTATGATATTGATAATATATATATATATATCATAATATATATATATATATAGTCAATATATATATATATAGTCAAGATATATATATATATAATATGATATTATAATATGATAATATAATAGTATATAATATAATATAATATGATATGATATGATATGATGTGATATGAGATGATATGATATGACATATAATATAATGTACTGTAATGTAATATAATATAGTATAATATAATATAATATACTATAATATAATATAATATAATATAATAATATATATATATACATATACATATTGATGGGATTTATTGGGATATATACTGATATACTATATAATTATATAATGGGAATAATCCCGTCCATGCTTTCTTAAACACCTCCTCGAAACTATTTGAATCCATGTTTAGTGGAGAAACCCAATAATAAAGCTACAAGGCGAGAGGATCCCAGTTATGTTTGGTGGTTTATAAACCCATTAACTATAGTTATAACCCCCTCATCAACTCTACTTAACTTATTTAACCAAGCTATTTGGGTCAACTTAGCTATCATTCCGGGGCCTAACCTTGAAATTTTGGGAATAATTTTATTGGATATAGTCTATGGTGGGAAATAGTGGGATATAGTGCGATAGCTTGACATAGATAAGCCCAGTAGTTAAGTGGTTAGTAACCCATTGTATATTGTTACTGGATATAATTCCTTTTTTCTATAACCCACTTGCTGTGGCCAGTTAACGAAGTCCATGGCCTATCAAAGTATGTTCTCTTAACAACTGGGGATTCGCCCAGTTGTTGTCGCTAGCGCTTGTTGTCGGGGGGTTTTCTTGTAACTTGGGCCAACCATGGTCAACCATGGATGGGTACTTTAGTACATGGAGGTTTCCTGAACTAGTGGTACCCTTTGGTAAACTAACGTAACTATGGAAAATCACCGTTTTTAATGGGAAATTCCACTATAAATGGCCATGTTCAATAGCTATGTTAAATTACCAGATGGGACCCTGTTGTTGCATGGATTTTGACTGCGCTCCCATGTGGAGCAAATGAATTCTTATAGTCTTTGTCGGCAAAATGTTGTCCGATGATACAATAGAAGCCTATACATCAATGGCCAACAGGAAGCGATAAACATTGGAGGTACCTACCATTTTTTTGAGGCCCATGTAAGGGAATATCCCCACAAAATATGGCCTTATATGGTACAGTACCTTCATTTTAGGATCCTGGAGATCTCCCATTGATATACATAGGTCCGGTGGCCATGATTTGACGGAAAGAATCGAATGAATTCGTCGCAACTGGGGCACCTAATTTTCACCGTTGATACATTCATTCTCTAAATTGGGTAACGCATTGTGGTGATGGTTAGGTTTGCAACTTATCTCACAAGAATCACATGTGATTTAAATTTACTAAATTTATATCTAATTTATGTCATTATTTATGTTATAATTATGACTTGTGATGACTTCATGGATGGAGTAGAATCATTGACACTGGAATGCTGCTGTGCTTGGGGTCCTATGGAGTGCCTCCAGCCGCATGGCGTTTAGGTCGCCTGGTGCGACACGATTCCTGAGGGATTCATGAACAAATGAAACTTCTTTGAGGTATACTCAAATAGATTATGATAGATGAATGTGTATAATGTGTTTCGTATTATGAACCATTATGAATGTAGAAAAAACGATACATTGACAGTAACAAAAATTCACCCATCACCCGAAATGTGCCCAAACCTTTCGGTTTCAGCAATCTTGAGGGGACCAATTTCCATATTTTTCTTTAAATATTGGTTTTAGATCCTTTCCTCATGCTGAAAAAGAGATCCCGCGCGGCCAGGCATCAATGGAAACCAAAAGGCCAGGAATGATGATGTTGGAGCCTCAGACGTTGGTTTTGTTGGGAATTTTTTAACCTGAAACCATCGATTTTCCCATTAAGATCGTGGGGCTTTCCGGTTTCAATTTTTCCAAAAAGACCATTAGACCAATCCATTGAAAAGGGAGTTGGCTCAGGTTTAAGTGAAATCTAATTCTGCACATGTATAGATTGCAGTTGCTTATGGATTTTGTACTTGTATTTTGTCTAGTAGATTGAACGACTTCCCTCGTTGAGATGCCCTTAGGATTCCAAAAATCATCCCCAACGGACCTCATTATCACTATCACACACTCAAGTCAAGTTAACGATGATTTCAGTAATAATAGGAACACATCAATGATTCATTCCTATTCTTACTTCAATGATCTTGAATCAATTTTGAATTCCTATGATTCCCAAATGATAATGTGATTTGAGATGACTTCAGTAACGTTAAGTAATACTTACCTCAATGATTTCCCCCATAGGAACATCATCTCCTTATATGATTCAAAATATTTGGTGTATATATATATATGTATATTATGTATATATATATATATTATATTATATATATATATATAGCATATCTGATATATAACCATATATATCTGATAACCATATAACCATATATATATACATACTATATACATCTGATTCTTCATGTTTTGGCTTCACGGTGCTTTTTTCTTTGACGCAGGTCTCCTACAACGTCTCCCAGGAGCCACGAATGGTGATGAAGGAGGCGGCGACCCAATTTTCCATCGGGATTCCCATTGGATTGTTGCGAATTCCAGTTACCCGGCCTGGTCATGACTCACGTAGCCATGGAAAGTGGCCTAGAAATAGATGGTTTACCTGGGTTTACCGAACTTAAAAATGGTGGATCTTTCCATGGCTATGTTAGTCATAACCAGAAGGTATTGCATGATAAAAAGCTAAGTTGGTTGAACTAAGTATAGGATGGTTGAACTAAGTGTGCTGAAGAAAAATGCTGGTGATATATCACTAGTTGAAACCACATGAATGAAATCACTAGTTGTTTTAGATTGGTACTGAAGCAACGGAATAAAAAAACTGAGGGAGCACCACCTTTGGAATAGAACAGCCTAAGAAACAACCTTGTGAGGACAGAAAAAGGCTGGATTCTTAGGGTCCTGGAAGGTTGCATGCATAAAAATCATGCCCCTAAAATGTTGAGCCACCAAGATCGATAGGTGGAGCACCATGGACTCGTTCTCAATACAAATCTGCAAGGCATATGAGTCATATGAGTAACCGACAAAATTCGCGAAAGACTAAAGTAGTGGGGAGTGGAAATGGGGTCTTCAAATTTGTGCCAAAACCTTCACTACCGATAGGGGGACCACCCACTTTGGCCATGTCCATTGCGGGTAGTCAGTAATTTTGTTCGCCGCTCATATGAAATGAGGTGCTTGGTTCATACATAAGCATACAACAGTGCCAGTTGTCCGTACCATATTTGTTACCATTTGTTACCCATGTTTTTGGCGCTATGCTACCATACATTCTCTATCGTTCCACCATATACAAGTCCTGGGACGAACATGACTTTAGTTGGAGTATGGTCATTCCTACTGAACCAGACAGAAGACACCAGAAGACCAACGTAGAACCCCTTGTAACATCCGGCGATCATCGACCAATCATCAACCAATCATCACCCAATCATTCAATGAATCATGTAGACAATCATCAACCAATCATCAACCAGCAACTGACCAAACCTACCATCCTTAAACAAAATAAAGAACACATCGCAAGTGAATCCTTACAATCCTTAGAATTTAGAGCTTTATCAGAGTTTTGTGAGGTTTTTACATGTTATTACCATGGTTTCTGCATGTTTTATCCCCTGTGATTTCATCACCGGGGCCACGTAGGTGACACGAGCCTTAACGTCTCATGGCATCAGTTTTCGGCAGATGTCGAACTACGTGGTGCGCCCCGTTGCCGGGGGATTCCGGGGGTTGGCGCTGGTCGATGGAGACGAGCTGCTGGGTGCTTTCAGATATTGAATGTGTTTAACGGTTTAAGAATAGGTACCGAGTTATATAATGATATATTTATATAATATATAATATTATATATATAATATAATATAATATATATATATATAATATAATATATATATAATATATATAATATATATATAATATAATATATATAGCGAACTTTAGGAAATCTAGTTTACTGTATAGTTTGGATAATGTGGATTCAAGATAGTTAAATAATAGTTGCTGGTTGGTATAATCATGTATATATCAACTGTTTAAGTAAAACTGACTATCACTCTATATCAGTTTCCTCTCCTTTGGAACCCCTGCCGGAACCATGTTAGCACTACGAAATTTCTATTGATTATGCCTGGTTTTGGATTTCAACTTTGATTTGTTCAGTCTTCACCTCTGATAAATCCAACACTAAAGCTACCATTTGGGGATGATATGTACATATATGTCCATATATTTCCCAGCATTTACCAGCAAAAATGGTGATGACTCGGATTTTTTTCACCCCTGGCGGCATGAACACCTCGTTTCCAGGTGCGCTGCCAAACCCGTGAACTGCGTTTCCAGGTGGAGCGATCGAAAAAAATGGGTCGATTCCAATGTCGTTAAGTAAGTCGTTGCTTGCGAATGGGGATGTTTTTTTGTGTTTGTTTTCCGATATGATAGATGATGATAGTAGTAGAATAGTAAACATGAATGTTATATAATGGTTAATGGTACCCTCTGGTAAACATACAAAAAACTATAGAAAGATCCACCATGTTCAATGGGAAAATCCACTATTTCTATGGCCATTTTCAATAGCTATGTTAGTTTAGCAGAGGGTATGATAGATGATGATAATAGTAAAATAGTAAACATGAATGTTAATGGTAAAAAAAAAGACAAACTCTGCAGGTTATTAGTTAACTATAGTTATATCATGTTGACAATCATCTTATATTCCCCCTATTATCAGTGAAATAGTATCTCTAATGCTATACCCAACCCAATACAATGATATTAACTAGAGTTATATTAATCATGTGATATCCCCAAAATCGACCCTAGTTCAACCCGTTATTTGCGTCAACTTTGCGATTTCATTTACCATTTGGTTATGACTAACATAGCCATGGAAAATTCACCATTTTTCAATAGGTCAACCATCTATTTCTATGGGCCATCTATACCATGGCTATGTGAGTCATAACCAGATGGTAATTTGGGGGTTTCTGAAGTCACGGGGGATCCCCAGTCGTCACCGTTTTGATTTTTTTCTACGAAATCACGGACTAATGACTTGGATGATTGGGGGTACCCCCATGACTTAGGACACCTTGATTTGAAGCTTTTGCTGTGGGATGTCTGCGAAGCAGCGACTGTTTTTCAAAAAGTCGGGGTGTTTTCAAGATTGACCATGGAATTGCTGTGGGATTTCTGTAGGGTTCCAAGACACCACGCCGATAAAAATCATCAATCATAAGACCTAGGTTTCATGGAGGCAAGCGGCATGGGATGCAACAAAAACATACAAAAACTATGTTCGAATTCCGCACCAAAAATCGTGGAAGAACTGGAATAACACCAAATTCTGGGTCAACAGCGTCTTGTGAAGGGGATTAATGAATATTAGTGAAGGGTTACTTTCGAGGCTACTTTTCAGCCATGCCATCGTCAAATTGTGTGGCCATCAATTCTTTCTTCACCTCATGAGTTGTTTAGTTGGAGCAATTGTGAGGCGAATTCCCCCAGGAATTTTGGAAGTTATTCCTTAATTATTGGCCTAGGGGCACTGGGGACCTGGGGGTTGTCAATCTGGGTCTGACAACGTGATAAAGTTGGATAGGAACAATAGAATTACAAAGATGTTGCCAGCATCATTGCAAACTTCGATTGGTGAACACTTCAGTTTTTTTTCGTTAACATGCAACCCGGCACATCAAGAAATACCAGGATGTGTAGGAGATGTTTAAAAAAAACTGAGGTACCGAAATGAAAACATGCTTGGAATCCCGTGGTTTGTGGCCCTGGTTGGAATCCTATGTGGTTTGGATGAGGATCCTCGAAAAACATCCAGTTGTGTCATCTGGGAAACTGCGGACTGTGATGAATGGTTCCACCAAATAAACAATTTTGTGTACCCCATTGACGCACTCGACTGTTATTTTCTTGGCTACATAATATGTATATATATATATACATACATATTGTATCCTCATAATCTCATTTATAGATTGTTTTCCCAGTATGTCCCATTACGAAGCTGATGGCTAAACCACCCCAAATCCATGAAATTCATTGGTCACATCCCAAAAAGTTCTCATGGTTTGCCATGAGAATCAATAGAAACAAGTGCTACGGTGGATGGTTGCGAAATCCTGCACCACCAATTTGGGATGGTTGAAAGCCTATAAATAATGGGATAAACAACCTATCAACTGGTGATTCGGATTTCTTCTTCCATCCACAGTATGATTGAACTATAGAACTCACATATTTTAAACAGCCTATAATGGTGGTTTCCAACAGTTGTTATTTTCCAACATTATGTGGGATAATCCTTCCCATTGACTTTCATATTTTTCAAGATGTTTGAAACCACCAACCAGTCATCCTCTGGTAAACATTCAAAAAACTGTGGAAAATTACCATTTTTCATGGGAAAATCCACTATTTCTATGGGAGCTGTGGAGTTATTGGTTTTTCGGGATGCGTTTTTTTTTTCAGGCAGAGATTCTGGAGGCCGAGCAAGGCCAGCCTGGGCCTCGGAGCTATCAAACATGGACCACTTTTGGCAATTTGAGTGATTTACCCTCCGGTTATGTCAAAATAGCTATTGAAAATGACCATGTGTAATGGATTTTCCCATTAAACATGGTGATTTTCCATAGCTATGTTAGTTTACCAGAGGGTAGATAGATCGGATTAGAATAGATAGATCGGATTAGATTAGATTCGATAGATCAGATAGACGTAATTTAAATCTGCAGCGCAG